ATATAAAAAATACAAACACAATGGCGATCAAAAATGTATAAGTTATGAATCATTTTTTATTCTGTTGTACTTAGAAATGAACGGTTTAAAGTTTAATGCCAGAAAATGCCAGGTATCAGATATTTATATCAGATATTGATTTTAGTGTTCTACATCATCTACATGACGTATATCACATGATTAAAGTTGATCATACCTCATAATCAAATGAACGCGTCTTATAAAAATGTTGTTCTTTCGCCATTTATGTAAACTTGCTTTGGTCGTTTCCAAATGAAAGTTTTATGTGTGGCTGAAAAACCTTCATTGGCTAAATCAATTTCGCAAATACTATCTAATGGAACTTCTCGAGCGGTAAAGCTTTGTTTGTGGTCTTCTAGAATTAAACATTACTACGATCACGGAGCCTAAAGTTATTTGCCTTTGCTCTTTTTACATAGCGTCCTACAAAAAATAAATATATCAAAAACTACGACTTTTCTTGCACGCTTAACGATAGCAGAGCAGTTCAAGTCACTATGACATCTGTTATAGGCCATTTAATGGTTTATGACTTTCCTCCTGAATATCAAAATTGGCAGCAAGTCTCTCCTTTAACATTGTTTGATGCGCCCACCGAGAAACAAGTAATACGAGTAAGAACATAAAAAATTTATCAATTGGTAAGAATACTTCAATGGATAAAGTCATTCCAACTTCATTTGTGCAAAAGGGAATTGAGGCCGTTCGTGATAACATTGCAAAAGAAGCGCGTAATGCTGAACAAATAATGATATGGACTGATTGTGATCGCGAAGGTGAAAACATTGGATCGGAAATCGTAGATGTCTGTCGTGGCGCGAATTCAAGAATTAAAGTATCAAGGGCAAAATTTTCCGCTATTATTTCCCAGTGAGTTTACTTATTCAAGTCGTCCCAATATTTATATGTTTATACTTGTTTAGGTGACACTCAACTTTCAAATATAGACAAATCCGTCATGCATGGCATTCCCCGGTGGATTTGGATTATCGTCAATCAAATGCGGTAGATGCTAGAGCAGAGCTCGACTTACGAATTGGTGCTGCATTTACTCGATTTCAAACTTTGGGCTTGCGAACTTTATTTTCAGAACTCAATAACAAAGTAATAAGTTATGGTGAGCATAATAGAATTTAATGATGTGTCTATCCGTTTAATCCAATTCTTATATTATTAGTTTTTTTATAGGTTCCTGTCAATTTCCAACGCTGGGATTCGTAGTGGATCAATACATAAAAGTCCAAAATTTCGTTGCAGAAATTTTCTGGAAAATATATGTTGCATTAGAACGGGATGGCAGTATTGTAGAATTTAATTGGGCGAGAAATCATTTGTTTGATCGTTTAGCATGTGTGGTAATTTATGAGAAATGTTTAGAAAATCCAATGGCAACTGTCGTTGAAGTCAACTCTAAAGAAGTTAAAAAATGGTAAGAAGCTAGAGATTGTACCCGGTTAGAAATTCTTATCATGTGACTACAATAAATGTGGATCATGCTGAAATTCCGGCCCGAATTATGAAAAATTTTTGGGGTCGGTTGGCCCGAATTATGTTTTATATTAGAAGTTTTTAAAATATATAGTACAATTTTTTAGGGTTAGGGTTTAGGACCCTGTTAGGGTGAAAAAAAGAGGTTTTATTTTTAGTTAAATATTTTTCATATACCTTATATAGCATTTCAACATAATCCCCCACAATAATTACACGGAAAACCGAATAATTTAAAAACATATATGCGGGTATAAATTTTCCTGACGGGTACAATCTCTATAAGAGACTATAATATACTAACGTACAGCGAAGATTTTTCTTTAAGAATTCTTTCAAACTTTCAATGATAGGAAACCGTATCCGTTAACTACTGTAGAACTTCAAAAAATTGGGTCAAGATACTTACGTATTTCGTCGGATAGATTGATGAGTGTAAGTGTATTTATGAAATAGGTAATTGATCTTGATAA